TTTTCTTTTCTTTTGATTTCAAATCTGGATGTTCATCTGCATGGATTGAATCGGATTCGAGCCTTCCTGCAAGGAGGCTGGCGCCTGGGAGGCAGCCACAACGGCCAGATGACTTGGTTCTGTAATTTCATTTGTTACATCTATCAGTTATTGACCTAGATATGTAGCTTCATTGTAAAGTTTCAGAATAAATGTACTGTTTGATGCTATACTCCAAGCAGGCTTCTTGGAGGTGTTTTTTAATATGGTAACTCCTTTCTTGTTGCTTGAACAATTTACCCTTTGATTTTTGAATATAAGGACCCATAAATCTTTTTCTTTCCTTAATTTTCTGATAGCAATAAAAATCTTTTAGGTTATAAGAATTGGACTAAAGGAATTACTCAAATTGATTATTGGGAAAAAAAAAATTTGAAAATTCTCCTTTAAATGATAAAGTTGATACAAAATCTTGTGTGGGATTGAAATAATTTATCCAAAATTTATTAGTTTAATCTACATATAAACTTCATAGTTTTTTTTAATCTTTCTAATAAGTTTCAAATCCTTTCATATTAAACTAAATGTTTACACATAAATGATACTGCAAATTTTTTTAATTTATTCTGAACATAACCTAAATGAAATCCATAAGCTATCACAAAACCAGTCAAAGCATAAAACTGAGAGGAAAGAAAAGAAAAGTTCTTTACCCATTATTCCAATCAAGAATAGAAAAAAATAGACAAGTTCTGTTTTTTTTTTTTTTTTTGTTCTTTTTCAAAGAAAAAGGACTTCTATCGTCGACTACGAGAGCAAATAAATGTAGCGAGAAAAGAGTGGCGATAAAAATTACATAAGATCAAAGTATAGCATATTACATGATAATACAAACTCCTAACTGAGTTGAGAACTCGAGTTCTTGTCACCCTTTATGTCATCCGATACTCGGGGAATCAACCAATTTCACATGCAAGACCCGAGAGAATAAGCATCAAACCCAAATTCACCATCAATCAACATTGGTCCATTCGACTCCTGCATAACATTTCTCACCAATTTCACAGAATGTTTACGAATAACAAAATCATAAGCAGACATTAGATCGAATATAAACTATCAAATAACGTTTAGACTACAAAATCAACATAGGAATCATACCCGTTTAATCATCGCGTTCATTATATCATCCAAGGAATCATAATTATTCTGAATAAAACTATCTTGGGACTTGGTTTGGTCCAAAGCAATACCATTGGCAGGCATTATGGAATCTGCATTGCCATATGAATTACTTAATCCTTGGTTGTAATCCAGTCTACCTTCTTCCCACCTTTGTCTTGTTGAATAATTCATGTTCTGAAAGACATTGCCAGTCAATCCTGTTTGGCATTGCAAGTCTCCTCTGGAATCCGAAACAGGTATAGAAGATGAAAAATCAACTGGGCTGCTTCCAAACTGAGAACTGGTTGAAGCCATGTTTTCTCTCAAATTGGTATTGGGATCATGATTGAGTGGCAAAGAGTTCGATGGAAACTTGGATAAGTGAGCTGCAGCTTGCCAGTTTTCATTACATCTATTATGATCAAGGAAATTTGATGAACCCCGAACACCCATATCGAAAGAGTCTGTATTCGTTGAAGCAACATTTAGAGATGACTGATTCCCAAATGCCCCTCGACTATGTGTTTGTTGTGAGTTTGCTTGGAAAAGTAAAGGGTTGCTCAAGGCACTGGATATATTGCTGGAGCTACCACCTGCAGCTCTGGGATCTGGGAAGTTCGTGGGGACTCCAAACATCGTCTGATCATTAATCCGGTTGAAGTCTCCTATCTGGACAGATTTGTTCTGTGGCATCTGGGTAATCTCTAATCCTGTTGGAATCCCTTGAAACAAATTTGCATTTTGGTTTGCAGGCAACATGGTTGCCTGAAGCTTTCCAAGAGTATTTGAGCTGCTTAAAATTTGGGGATGAGCCGGTTGGATCATGCTCGAAGAATTAATTCCACGGATGGTTAAGCCAGATGGAGAGTTTAATCTACCAAGCATACCACCTTGCGGGTACGATGACAGAGCAGCGTTTGGAAGTCTTCCGGGTCCAGTCAAGGTTCGAAAATCTCCAAAACCCTCGACCTGGCCTAGGCGAAAGTAAGAGTCTTTACCTCCCAATGAAGCAACAATACTACCTTGTGTTGTCACATTACTGATCCTTTTTAGGTAAAGCCTATATTTCTGCAATTCAACAAGAGCACGTCAAATAATTTCAACTGAATTATCTTTAAGTTCATCGAGCTAGAGTGCAAATAATAAGAGAGTTATCGGATATTAATGGACAAAAGATACATGCCTGCAGATGGCTTGCTACATTTTCCCTTGTAAGGCCATCAACATTCATCAGATCAAGAATTTTCTTCGGGACTGCCTCTGCGGTAGAGAAAGAAAAGGAAATTGTAAAAGAAAATTGGAGATTAAAATGTAGCAGCCTGAGAATATCTGCAACAGACACTCAAAAACTACATTCAAGAACTCACTCTCAAGACCCAATTGGTTGACAGCTGCAACAAACTTCCTGTGCAGCTCCACGGACCAAACAACCCGAGGCTTCTTCTGAGTCGCCGGGTCATCATTCTCCTGTCCATTCTCTTCCCCTTCGTCCTCTTCGTCCTCACTTTGATCCTTCCGTTTTTTATTCACTTTCCCACTCTGATCAGTATTTCCAGCAGACGTGGCCCCTTGCCCACCATCTCCACTTCCAAAACCAGACCTTTCTTGATTGAGGGACTTGTTCTGGTCCCTTGAATCAAGTTTCTTTCTCCTCACCACATGCTGCCAAATGTTCTTGAGTTCCTCGATTCTCACGGGTTTCAATAGATAATCACAAGCACCATGAGCAATCCCCTTCATAACAAGCTTGGTGTCACTATGTTCTGATAACACTGGAAGAACCCATATAACAGACACAATAAAATGAAACGTCAGAACCCAATTCGACCCGTTTCCGGACTATAATGCTTATAATCATTGTTTCAACTGGGTGTTCCATTGTAATTATGATACAGAAAATTCAATAGCATCTACGTAGGAAACCTCTAAACCTTCAATGACCACATCCTATGAGGATATATTCAGAGTACAGTAAGAAAAAGGTAAGAAAGGTCATTGAATGCCACAAAATGGAAAAGCGTATTAATGAATTAATGCTTACTGATGACAGGTAGGTCCATTTCAAGCCCCACAAGTTCTAGGAGGTTAAATCCATCCATGTCTGGCATATTAACATCACTGATAACCAGGTCATACTTGTTTCTGTTTTCTCTCAACATTTTCAGTGCTTCAATTGCCTGATTGGCCGTCGTCACTACAAAAGATAATACCATAAATTACATGCCAAAAAGAGGTCAAAAAGGGCATACTCTATAATTAATTCACATATAATTCTCGACAGCCAAACAGCCGAAAGGAAATCTGGTTGAAAGAAGCACTTTTCAAGGGTTGAAAACTTGAAACAGACGCATAAAGAACTCAAATTGAAAACTGAAACTCCAAAGAGGATAACGACCCATCATCAAAAGTCTTCTGATATGTCAAAAGAAACCCAAGAAAATTTATCCAATCAAAAAGTGAGAATTTGAATTTAATAAATGAAAAATAAAATCGAAACAGAGTCGTCAAAAATGGATGTAACAGATACTTGAAACAGGGGATTCACTAGCAGAATTGACATTAAACTTTTAAAAGTTCACCACAGAAAAAAAGATTGAGGAAAAAGAATCACAGAAAAGAAAAAAAGAAATAGAGAGCTAAAAAGGAAGGTGGGAAAGAAAAAGACCTTCATACTGGCATTTACGGAGAAGATTCCCCAAAATTTTTAGACAAGTTGGATTGTCGTCAACGGCGAGCACACGCATACCCACTGGAAATCCTTCCGTGGCGCCGTCTTGACTCGTCAACGGACCGCTTCTGTCCTCCACAGTCATCGTCAACCCAACAACACGACAGACCCAGATGAGAAACAGAGATCGCCAACCGGAAAATTTCAAATCTGCGAAAAATTGACTCGCTGAGTGCTCTCCGACTCCCGCTTTTTCACCAAACCCACATGCTAAACACTCAAAGAGAGATGAAAAACAGAGGATGTGGGAATCAAATCAAAAGAAGAGACTGAGAAAAGTGGTTAGAGAGAGAGAAGTGAAGGAAGTAAAAGCTGTACGAATAGACTATGATGGCGATAGCCAGAACAGAGTGAAACCAATTAGTCTTCTTTTGTTTTTTTATACCAAAAAAAAAAAAACTCTTGTTTGGATGGTGGGAATTTTGTCTTCTCTCTCTCTCTCTCTCGGTTTTGTCTTTTAGCTTTTTCTCTTCTTCTCAACGCAGCACAGAAAACCCTTTTCTTTATTCTTTTATGGTTGTCGATGATGGAGCTCTGCTTCTTGTTTATAAAACTATAAAGTTTCTGCTTTTATTCCCCCCCCCCCTCTGTAAACCGGATGATACTGTGTAACTCGTCTCTACGGTTTTCTGATACTCCACGAACAATCCTAACCGTCCAAATAGTGGAGATCACGGTTGATGGTTTTCTACACCTCGTGGGCCCCACCAAATAAAACACAAAAGGGGATGGTTAGGGGATTTCCTGACATAGCTTATATGGTTTCTTATATCCCAATAAATTCCAGATTAGCCAAGGTGGAATCTCATTAATTCTCAATTAATTTAATAATCCTATCTAATTCAAATTAATTATCATTAATCATATTTTAAAAAAAAAAAAAATTTAACCGACCCTCTCTGTAAATATACATTTTTTATAATAATAATCTTTGCTCAGACCACACCAACATACCTACATAGGTGGATGACGTCAAAAATAAATTATGGTAATTAATTTTTGTTACTAATCAAGTTTTTTTAAATTTAAAATTTTTTAAAATTAAAGAGGCAATTAACCCGGGTAAGATTTAATTGGGCATTATTATTATTATTATTATTATTGCTAAAACATTTTTAGTATGATAAATAAATTAAATTAAATTACGGAGAATCCCTGCAGATTCAGGTAATTAATTAATTAATTTGTGATTAATATTAATGATGTAATTATTTATTTGTCCATTTTAGTAAAAAAAAAAAAAAAACTACCATTCAATTGACTACGTGTCCCGTAATTTTAGGATTAATTGAAGTGAAATGACTAATTTGCCCCTGCATTTGCTAATCGCGCAGTTTTGCGACCTTATCCTCAATTAATAATATTTTACCTTTTCTTAAACTTGTTTTAATTAGTTTCTCATTTTTAACTTAGTCAACACGTTGACTTCGGCTTGAAACATTGTATACATTCATTTTATATTGTTTCCCACACCTTATATATATATATATATATATAGTCATTGCTATAAGTAAATTACTAATTTATTTTCAAAAATAAAAATAAAAAGATTTATTACTAATTTTAATTTTAATTTTAATCACCACCAAATTTCAATTTTTTTAAATTTTAAAGAAATTTATGGTGAAAACAATGAATTCAAACTTAATATAATTTGGTATTTTATTAAAATAAATAAATATTAATTTTTAAAACTTTTATATCTCATAAAATAGATAATTATAAAAAAAAAGTACAGATCGAATTGTAAATTTAACTTATCAAATAAATATTAAAGTCAAATTAGTCAAACACGATTCTAATTTTATATAATAAAAATTTTGCGATAAAAGGTTGAAAAATAAATAAACATAAAAATTCGTTATTAATATAATTATAACGACTTGTATAACAATTAAACTTTAAGTTATTTATGAATTATTTTTTTTATTTTATATTATTTTATACTATCTTTTAAATTTACAAAAAATAGCGTTGTAAATTTAAGTATTTTATAAATTATTGACTTTTTTAAAAATAATTTAGATATTATGACATTAGAGATTCGTATTAATTTATTCTCGTTATAATATGTTAACGATATTTTAAACTAAGCGATTCCGGAATACGTAATTATATAAATTTAGGAAATTATTTATTAATTGAGAGGAAAAAAAAATTTGTGACAAGGAAGTTGTTGGTGCTTCTTTCATGGTGGTCCATGTGAAGAATGTTTAGGTATATCCATTTATGGCTTATTAGTTACTTTGGTCACAAGATGTTACATCAATATGTACACACACACACACACACATATATATGTATATGTATACATGTATATATATAAATATATATATGTATATGTATGTGTCTTGTCACTTGTACATTAATTTTTAATCAATAATGGGTGGGTCATGGTGAGGATGGATTTAATTAATTTTAAATTTTGAAATAACCCACAAAACTATTCCCCCTTAAATTAGAAATATATATGTGTATATATATACTTACCAAAAATTGCATGAGATTTACTCCTAATTTGAATGTAGCAAACTAATATAAGATAATGTATTTTTAATTTAAACAATTTAATTTCAATGTACAATGAATATATCCGTTATTATTATTATTATTATTATTATTATATATATATATAGAGATAGATAGATACATATATGCATGTGTGTATATATATGTGTGTGTGTGTGTGTGTGAACATATGTTAATTCTAATTTCACCACTTAGCTACCTTTTCATTTGTTTTATTATTCCAAAAACTTTTGTTAATTTACTTAATTGTTTTCACACGTGACATCAACTACATATGTCTTAATTTATATAATATATATATATATATACATATAACTATATATGTTAAAATTAAAATAGAATTTAATAATTAAAAATTATTTAGGAAACAAAGGGGGAGTGTATGACACGGGTTGGGAGCGAGAGTTGAGAGTGGGTTATGTCTCTCCGAAGGCATATGTCAGCTTGTCAACATGGTGCGAAGTACCAAAAAGTACGCTTCCCACGGGAAGTTCTGACTGCGGGTGGGGCCAGCCGGTTGCCACGTTTCACGTCGCGATTGGAAAGACAGTTGAGTGGGACCCGCAGTGAGTAGGAACCAGAAAGAAATGCAGCCTTTCTTGATAAAGACACGTCGGTCGCAGGATATCAGAAAACAAAAGGATATTTTGGGGAATTGGGTGGGGGCCCCGCACCACGATCGGTGGCTCCACACGGAGGTTTCATGCTCCGCCGCAGTAGCGTGATTGGTTTTTTTTTTTTTTTTTAAATATTTACGTATTGATGACATCCTCAAGTCAAACTTGTTATATTGTAAAAATAAAAAAAAAATTAAATAATATATATTAAAAATTTAATTTTGTTTAATGGGTTATTAAAAAAAATATATCCTATAAAAAAAAATACAAGTTGAGGGAAAATGACATGTATATATATATATATATATATGTATATGCATATTTTGACATGTGTTTATGTTCAGAATTAAAATTGTATACTTTTAATTAGAAATGGTTTTATGGGAATACACTTTAAATACATAAAAAAAAAAAAATATATATATATATATATATATATATATATAGAGAGAGAGAGAGAGAGAGAGAGAGAGAGAGAGAGAGATTTTATGTCTTGAGAATTGAAGTGCTTATTTTATTGGGGATTAAGAAATTATTCAACCAGCATTTAAAAAAGAAGTTGAATTTGAGAAAGTCAAAAGATGAATTGACCAAACACTTATATAATTTTGTAAAAATAATCAATTGTAGCATTATTAAGATGAGAGAGATAAGTGCTTATTATATTATATAATACTTTAGGATATAACAAAATATATGTGTGTATATATATATATATGTGTGTGTCATGATGAAGTCTACTTTAATATACAAATGTTGTGTTAGGGCCAAGGATATTCTCCCTTTAATTATATAATAATAATAGTAATAATGTTATTTAAAATTGATTTTTTTACTGTGAGATTCCATCTCACAACTCCACACTATATCTATATATATATATATATATATATATTCAAACCCAAGTATATATATATATATATTGTATATCAACTTGAGCTATATAGCAGCTTATAAGTTGTGATTAGCCTACTAATAAAATCTACCTTCCACATTATATCTTTTTGTTTTATATATTTTATAATTAGTTAACACAAAATTCAACTTACTTATTATAATTTTATTAATTTATTAATAAAATAAGTTATATAAATAATATTTAATTAAATATTATAATAATTTATATATTATGTTAAATTAAATATTATCAATTAATTATTATTAAATTATAACATATTTATAAGATTTATTATTTTAAATTCGTAATTTTTAAGTAAAATAATATTTAAATTAATTAATTTATATTTAAACTAATAATTATTTATTATGTACACAAATTAGGTCACGATTGAGATAATAATTAAATCACAATAAATTTTTTTTATGGAATTAAATCACCATAATATATATATATATTTAAAAAAAGAATGTATCTCCTACATTTATATAATTCTTTAATTGGATAAAATTCAATTGTAATTAGAATAATTATCTTAATATATTTCAAATCTAAACGGTGGAATCTACAAAATTAATTATAATTACTATTTCTTATGTGATCATGTATGTATATACATATACATATATATATATATATTAAATAATAATATAAAATATTCTTTTAATATTTTTCTTTAAAAAAAAAATAAAAGCATATATTCTCCACTTAATTAGAAACCATTAAATAATTTTTTTAATATAAAATTTATATTATAAATTAACAGTAGTCTGACTTATAATATTTAATTTAATTTAATTTAATTAATCAATAATTTAAATTATTAATATATTTACGGCGTTACGTAGATTAAATTTAACTAAATTTTAATAAATTTATTATATTTATAAACTTAATTTTTTAAAAATAATTAATTATTATTATATATATATACACATATATGTAGTTGATTGTGTAAAATTTTAATTACTGTTAGGGGCAAATCTATATAAAATTGGCTTGCATTTGGGCTTAAAATGGAGGTACTTGACTGAAACAAGGCCCATTATTCAAACAAGGCAAAGGTTTCTCTTCCTCACGGCCAGTTCCAAAACGATACGACGTCGTAGTGATATTAGATATTAGGTAATGAGAGCACCAAGAATACAAAGTTTATGTTTTATTCGAAGTTCGCGAGTTCGAACCTTAACGATGATGTAAAAGTCATTATTTTATAAATATTTAATCTACAAGATGATAATAATTAATTTATAATATTTGATTTAATAGAATTGAATATTTAACTGAATAATATATACGTGAGGTTTCGATGCTGACCCGGCTCACATTTCTCTATCTGTTAACCTTTGTCAGCGCCTTCCGTGGCCACCGAACACTGCCCGCACAAATCTAGTATTTTTTTTTTCTTCACTTTTATATATTATTTTTATAAAAAAATATTGGTTTTGGATAATTTAGTTGGTGAATTTTTTTTTTTTTAAATTAAATTTTAATAAATTTATTATATTTTGAATGAAAAGATTATTATATGATAACTAGATTTTTTGAATTAAATTAGTCATAATGGTTTAAAAACTTAGACTTCAATTTTTTTTGTACTGAAACAAAAAAGAAAAACATTAATATATACATTCAGGGCCTGGTACAGAGCTCAAAGAACTCTCTCTTAAGATCCTCCACTGTCAAGTCACTTTTATTTTTACTGTTAAATTGTATGTATCTAATGGTAAATAATTAATTTTTTGAGAAATAAAAATTGAATTTTTTGACAAGTAAATTCCAACATTTATCTTTTTTTTTCTATAATTATTTTAATAAATTTGATATATATATATATATATTTAAATTTTTATTGTTCTCTTGGGTCTTAAAATTACAATTAACCAAACAAAAGATATGTGAAATTCTACTTCTAACCTAAAATTAGATTCCACAAGCATAACATCATAAAAATTACATTAGGTGAAGTTGTACTCTTTTGGCGAAGATATCAAAACTTGAATGTCAATTTGGAAGAAACTTAACTCAGATATTACACTAGTATTCTCTTCCTTTCTGATAATGGTGATTACAGGATTTTTTTTTTTTTTTTTTTACATCAGACCAACCTTGCTAAATTATACATCAATGCTAGATCAACAACCATATTTGCAATCAACTTTCTGATGAATCGCATCTCGACCCGAGGTAAGAAAAAAAAAAAAAGTACATTACATGAGCTCGCTACCTCAAAAATGGTTACCCAACCAGGATCTGGATCAAACAGATTATAAAGTTTTAAACCGGTTCCCGATCAGTTCACAATCTGGAGAAGCATTTACCAAACCTGACAAAAGCTTGGCTGCTAATGACCGGAACCGTGAAAGCTCTGAAAGCATGTGAACAGGTCTGTATACTCGGAGTCAATCTCATCACAGCAACAAACAAACTACCTGTTTTGATTCACTACTATCTTATCTTGGCCAGCAACTTTTTTTCCAAATCTCAAGCACTTGTTGTGTCTAAATTCTGTAAAACTCGGCTTAGAAGTAAGTTGTTTTGATGGATTGGTGAGAGAAAGCTTCTCCATCGCGTTTATGAACTTGCGCAAGTGTTTGATGTACTCGGGATAAGTTTCAAGGTTGCAATGACCTCCACCCTTGACCCATAAAGGGTCATACTTTTCTTTTGAAAGTTCCCACAGGCGTTTCCCGTGTGACCAGTCTACAATGTCATCGGCTGTACCCTGCAAAGAATCCGAGAATGAATACTACCAACAAGCAATTACCAAGTCGGCATCAAGTGTTACAGGAGAAAGATTCACACAAATCAAAGAGATTATGCAGTAGATTTATAAATGAATTCCGTAAAATTTGTTGGAAACATAGTCAAAACACCTGAAAAAGCCATTCTAAGCATTCTAGAGTTGTAGAAATTCACCAGACTCTCGCCTACAAATAAATATCTACTTTTAGATTGCTTGGATGTATGGTTATAGGATCACAAGGTCGACGGCTCCTTCTTATTACAATAAGCATGGTGTTTCTTTAACAATGGCCTCAATTCCACCAGTTCCATACAATAAACTTGGACGGACTGCTGGGACGTATAGTTATAGGATCAGAAGAATCAACAGCTTCCTCTTCACACAATAAGCATGGTATTATCGTTAGCAATGGCATTGGTTTCTATGGCAATCGCATCTAATCCTAACAATCCCCTTTTGATTTCAATTAAAAATGATTTAAGTAAAAACATTCTTCTACGACAAAGATAGCGTGGGATAGTTAAGTAGTCACACAAAATGCAAGAACTGAGTCAAGGCAAGAGGTTCAAATGAAACCCATTAACCTGTCAGAATTCAGAAAGATTTTTAATCCAACTTCCCATACAAATGGCAATGGAATATCATAGAATCTATGAAAGTATTAGTTTGCCTGATTCTGGGCTTTCATTAGTTGTGAGGGAATACAAATTTTCCAGAGAGAATAATGTTTAATCTGCAAAGAAGTGAGTTATGAATCTTAAATCCATTCGATAATACTACAGAATAATACATCAGATAGCGAATGATGGAGAGCATTAGTATGTTACAAAATTCTACAAGTATGGAAGAGTACTAAAGGTAACCAGCTGAAGATTTTACCATCTTAAAGTCAAGATACTTACATGTATAACAAGAACTGGACAGTTGACATGCCGAATTTTGTCTATATTCTGTAAACAGAACAGGACTACCTTCAATATAAAACTTGGTAAGCTTCCAACAGAAAAAAATAACTGAAGAAAACCTGAAGCTAACTCACTTTGAAAATATCAAACCAAAATGTCATCTTGACTGGATACAAGACCCTTATTCCGGAAAGGATGGCACTATGAAGAACAACTCCTCGTAGCCTCTGTAAACGAGAAGCAAGGTGTAACGTGGGTCCACTTCCAACAGATTGGCCATATAAAATCAACTCCTCCTGTTTAATTCCATATTCTCTCTTCAAGCAATTGTACACAGCCTCTATGTCGTAGTACGTGTTGAACTCCGATGGCTGTCAAAACCGAAAGGTAACAGAAACATCAGATAAAGAATTCCATGAACAGGCAGATTCCCTTCACTAGCTTCCATGAATCTTTTCATATAATCCAAAGATCATAAGATCAACTAAGCAAAAGCTCTAAATAGGATTTTTTTTTTTCCGAAGGCTAAAAGGTAATTAGTATTAACTACTGCAACTTAGGAAATCTAGCCGCCAGCTTCGTATAGAATTAGTTGCAAAGATTTCATCTTACCTTACCGGTAGATGCTCCATAACCCGAATAATCATAACTGCAACAAAGCGAAAGAAAAAGGTAAATGAATAATACCATATGATGATATCCTCATAACACATGAGATTAACCTAAGCCATTAGAACAATTTAGAGGAAAAAATGCAGGGAGAAACATCAGAGAGGTAAACGAAGATAACAAGCACAAATTCCAAACAGGAGTAATTTGTTTTTAAAAGAAGCTGGTGACGATAATGGGCTTGTGTTGAAAATTGACAGTATTAATGAAAAATTTGTAGAATTATTAACAACAAAGCTCCTTACACATGCAACATAGAGAACAATTATTGGATCTATATATACACTCACGCACACACACACACACACACACACACACACATATATAATAATAGCATAAGCAGAAAGCAAGATATACATAAACGGGCAAAAGCCAGAAAAAAAGAGAAGGAGAAACAAAAAATATATACAAGGAATTTACCTGATAACCACCAATCATCATCATAAAGCAGAAACAAAACCTTAAACAAAAACAGCTCAATCAAAGAAAAAAGGCAACGTATTACTAAAAACATTAAAAGAAAATGAAGAACAGAGAGGACCCAGAATGAACCATTTATAATATATAAAAAAATGCAAACTCTAAACAACCAAAATGGACAAAAGGAAGCACAAGATAGAAGAACTCAGAAGATTTAAATGAAGAAGGAAAAGAACAAAAACGAGATGAAACCTCATGATGTTGACACGGAGATGAGCTCTGAGCTCAATGAAGAGCTCAACCATCTGGCCTAAATCAGCCGCATTGCCATGAGAATACAAGAGGGTGAATCTCGCAAAAGGGTGCTTCCAAAAAGTTGCGACAACCTTGTTGCCACCTCTGGTGTCTAGCAAATGAACGTCCATGTTTTTGTCTGCCGTCACTCCGGAAAATACCAGCCTCCCTTCTTCTTCTCTGCATACATCGTACGTCGGCGGGTCCGGCGGAAAGAAAGCGAACTTCGCGGCCACACTCGACGTTACATTTCCCATCTAATTATTTTATAGAATTTAATTGAACAGGAAAACAAAAACAAATTATACAAGGGAGAAATATATACAAAAATATAAACCCACCCAGGTTTAAGTTTTTCCCTGTGTCTCTCCCTCTCACTTTTTCTCTCCCCTTCTTTCTCCCCCTTCACCGTAATTGAAACAACCAAGTTTCAGAGACATTATGAAGCAGAAACCCACATGCAATGGCTTTGTTTTGAAGTTTTTCTAAACGAGTTTGCGTTGGACAAGAGAAAAACCGAATTGGTTATGCAAATGCGGGAATTTTTTATTTGAATGTTGGTTTTGATGAAGATTTTTGACTAGGGATGATCGAAGTGGAGTTTTTGAGAGATGGGGATACCGAGAGAAGGAAGAAGAAGAAGAAGAATAAGAAGAAAGAAAGAAATTAAAGGTTTGGGGAAGAAGTGGATCCGATCTAAGCGGGTGAGCTGGAAGTGGTGATGTTTTGGGAGAAGAAAACAGACCCAGAAATAATAATTACAAAATAATAAAAATATATATATAAATAAAAAGAAACTCTTTTATTATTTATTTTTAAAGATGACAGGAAGAAGAAAGGCAAAAAAAAACCATGGTGTGTTGGACTGGTAAAATTAGTCAATGAAGAAGATGACCTGTAAACACTTCCTATTTCAGTGACAGGGTCATGAAATGACCACCACCACCACCACCACCACGACCAACACCGCCTCTGATTTCTGGGTACTACCGAAATGACATTTTTACCCTTATTTCAGCAAACTTTTGTGTCTTTTTCGAGTGAAAGCTATTTGTGAAATGTCTTGAAGATGGAGGAGGGTATAAATGACATTGGATGTATATAGGTTGTTCCCTTCTGTTTTATCCAAAAACAAGAGGAACTTCCTCAGGATAAAAGATTAAAAATACAAAAAAGAAAATAAAAAATAAAAAGGAAAGAGGAGAGATGGACGGCTGAGATTTGGTCAAAGGCTGCAGGTGAAGTCTTTGAAGGTAGAGGAGATTGTCAGAGTCAGACATTCCACAATAATGCTTTTTCTCTGCAGCCAATTGTTTGTTATAATTTCTTAAAAAAAGAAAAGATAGACAGTTGGAATTGCTGCTTTGGATTTTCATCTCACTCAATCTAACAACTGTCTTCTGCAACTTTGACCATTTTTCCTCAATTTTTTCTACCTTCAAAATACTATCTTACTCTGATAAATACTAAATAATAAACTATTCTTATTATTATAATTATTAAAATTTAAGAATTATAATTCCCATTCTTATTTTAAATTTTTTTAATTAAAATAATACGAGTTAAAATACGAAGATAATCGACAATTGGTGAATAAATATAAGAAAAATTACATCGAGTCTATCTAGTTATTGAAATTATTTCACGAATTAAAAAAAAATAAAATTTTGCGAATTGATAGAAAATTTCCGAATCAAGATATTAAATTAATGGATAGAAATTGAGAGAATGTGTGGTGGGGTATGCGTTGGGTAGGTGATGATGAATGATGAAAATAATTAATTGACAAAACCTTAATTGCAATAGTAAGGGACCTCCATTTGTCTCTGGTCCTCACTAATAATTAAGTAGAGGGACCTAAATTGTCACCCATCTGAAAAAGAAGTGAACAAAAGTGAATTCATCAATTGTTAGATTAACTCATAAATTAAAGCAACAATACATTAATATTAAGTTGGGTTTTGATTTAAATTCTAGAATTTAAGAATGGGAAATGCAATATAAATTAAGATTAAATATATGAGAATGTAAATAATAATATAGTTTAGAGTTAATTTAATAATACACAAGTTAAATTTATTTATTTTATGTTGAATATATAAATTATAATTGACTTACACATAACAAATGTCTAGAATTTAAGAATTAAATAAAGATTCAACACGCATTACTAATATTAAGAGTTACTTACAAGAGACAGTTTATTTATTTTTTTAATGGGACTCTTTGACTGTCCAAAAGGCTTAAAAAGAAATTATGAAAATTTAACTTTGGGGACAAGTAGTTCTTCTTCTAAGCTCATGTGCCAAGTTCATGATGAGTATTGGGACTTTGGGATTTTCTTCTATATGATTCAATTAGAAGATGATTTGAGGAAAATTATTCAAGATAGATACTAAGAATTACAAGATAAAAAGCATGGTGGTCAATATGTCATCATAATCTTTTTTTTTTGGTTATGATTACTTTTAGAACTAATTATTTTTGACACGTTTTAATTTAAATATAAATTATTAAAAAATATCTATAAAATGATTTAAAATAATAAAATAAATCAATAAATTTAAAGAATTTTGTTTTTGTTTGATTTTACTATAAAATCTAAATTATATAAATTAAACAACACAAACTAAAGTATTTAAATAATTAGTAAACCTTATAGGTAAGCAATTCAGTTTATTACGATTATTTAACTGAATAACTTATACATCTATTTTTTTTTTTAAAAATCATAAATTAAAATTAAGTTATATTATTGTGTTTATTTTCTTTTAAATATTATTTGTATTATGTTAAAATATTATATATATTTATATTAATTAATTAATTAATATAAAAAAATTACTAAAGAAATCTTTGAAATTCAACTAGATTACCTGGCAATTGGCAACCCAATCCATAACTTAATTTGCCACTCATCATGACATTAAAAGCTTAAGTCTAAAGTAAAAGCTTGAGTCAAAAAGTCCATTGAATGCTTGGAAGTTGATGCATCAAACAAAAGAAAAGAAGATTGAAAAAAAAAAAAAAGAGAGAGAGAAAGATCGGTCTTAAAAGTGAGTGACTAAAGACAGAAAGATATGTTGTTATAAAACATTAATTTATATACCCTAGGAAAAGAAATGTAATGATGTATTATATTGTAAGAAAAGATTTGATGGAATTATATATATTATTTAATGAAGCTAATTCCTTTATAAACACATAATTGAAGAAATCTAGGAAACCAGTGACCAGCCCCTCATGTGGTCAATACCTTTTCATAACAAACTATAAATAATTGATAAATTATTGGACTCGTCATATAAATGTATGTATTTGTGTGTGAGTAGATGTACTTTGGAAGAAAAAAGAGCAAGAGAGAGAGAGAGAGAGACAGCTACCTATTGAGAAGAGGCAAATTATGGATCAATCAAGTCTGAAGCTCTGTTGAGTTCGGCTCACTTGCACACCAGTTCCTCTGCAAAATGGCAGGAGGCCTGTTCTCGTCTATTGACTTGAAGCAAAAAGGACAAAAGAAATAAATAAATTATGCAAAAATTTTACGACACACAACAATTTAAACCCATATAATTTAGCTTCATCGTAATTTAATTTCCTTTTTTTTTTTTTTGTGTCTAACAACGGGAATATCTGTATTTCTTCCCATGTTACATAACTTACTAATTTAAAGGACATGTAAGGTCTTGGATTTCTAAACACAAACACATAAAAGTTTAGGGCTATACAAGTTAGAATCAAAGAGAGATGAAACTAATAACTTCTATCAAGTGGCAAAGAATTAAAATATATGTACTGCTGAAATTATATATGTAAAGGAATCATTGACTTTGAATAACAGTAAAAGCAAAGAAGAAGAATGTGTGATCTAAAATTCCCTCATGTTGTTTGGTGGGTGGGCAGCATTTACATTAGGCCCATGTGCAGAACCCAATTCTTTTGTTTGCTAATGGGATACCCGGGTCCATAAATAATATAGGACAAGCCCTAATGTGATGATATATGGATATATACTCAGGATCAGGATTGATCCAAAGAAGTTAATAAGAGCAAGAAAAGAAGATGGAAGTAGAAGGCAGAGAGAGTATCTTTCTAGTTTCAGAAGCAAGATAAACCTTACAAATTGCTTTGGAAGAAGCTAACGAAGGCCCTGCTGCTGTCCTGTTAAAAATGGAACTTTCCTGCTAAAACTGGAAAAAATATACACCAGGATGAAACATACAACTAGCTTAGAAGGTAAAACGAGTATCAAGTCTGTGACATACTGGAGAAAAACATGTATCTTCTCGAATCTGTGGTATGTATTATAGGGGTGCAATGCACAGAAAATAGTTAAAACTGTTATACAGCTGCTTTGGTTTAATTCCCATTCAATTCCTAATTAATTTCTAATCCTAATCCTTATATTAGTCTTAATATATCTAATTAGAACATGACTTATATGTTCAAGTTACCAAGACACTTCAAATTCTTTGATGGCGGGGATCAAAACTCAGCTTAAAAAGTAGGAATTAGATCCCCAACGTCAAAGAATTCAAGGTGGGTTATTGGTAACTTACCCATCTAACTTTGCATATGAAGACTACTATAAAAAACAGAACTCGGAACTAACTAAAATTCAACGAGAATCGAAACAAACACAAAAATATGGGAGAATGGAAATTGTATCAAAGATTAAATATCATATTTATATAGTAAATGCTCCTCTGCTAATATGGTATTATCTCCAATAACAGCAACCCAGGTTTCTGCAATCTTTCCAACTTTTCCATCCAAAATCTCAATTAAAGTAAATGCTCGCCTGGTGCCAACAGATTCTGGATGGGCGTATGAGGCTTCATGATTCTTGATGCTTTTGCCAGCAGTTACTTCTTGATCAACTAAGGTTTTAACCCTAGGAACAACAGCTCCATTCAGGTATATGATGTTGTCAGGCCCAAACGCTATCATCTTCCTGAGACCATTTCCATGTGCCAACTCTTTATGCATGTGACCAAACACAACCAGTGGGATCGAGAAGTTGGTTGCCTCTTTTAACTGGGATATGGCTTGTGCTAGATCTGTGACACAAGGTTGTTCTTGTAAAGATAATTAGCAGAATCACCATCCACCTTAACACAACACAATTGCAAGCAACATCATCTTGCTAATCTCCTTACTATATCTCATCTGGTCAGGTTAACCAGGTCCCAGTTCACAGCAAACAAAATCACGGGTATCATTTGGCACATTATCTGTTAATCTGCATAACAGGAGAGCTAATAATGCATACAAGAAACTGGAATTCTTAGATTATATTACCTGGATCACCATGGTCACCAGCAGCTCCTATCACCCAATCTTTTCCACATATATCACTTGATTCAGAACCAAGGCCTGAAAAATGCAGCAATACTGATTCAAATATTCACTTACTTGCCTTAAGGAACCGAAATATAGGTGAAATTTAGCCAGCCAGTATGCCTGTAGGTCCATTATGCGCAAGGAATACAATCACATGATCTTCTGGTGTGTCCAGGGCAGCTCGATAGATCCTCTTGGCACTAACGGACATATCTTCCACTCCATATCTAAAAAGTAACGGATTGTAAGTTTAACGGGGAGGATGATAGCTACAAGAACAACAGTATGACTTCATATTCCAGAATCTAATGGATGGGGCATTAGTTCACGAGTTCAGTTATACTTGTACTTTTATTGATTCCTGTCAAGGGAATTAGGTTGATACCCAACAGAAGATATTAAAAGTTCTAATATAACCAACCAAACTGACTGCATCATTGAGGCAAGAAAATTGCTATAATGAAACACGATTGACAACATGAAGAAAGGCAATAGATTGAAGTATTTGTTTTCTTTTGATTTACTTCCCCCCTCATTTTACCTCAAAACTAGTTCCCTTTGACAAATCAGTTTATCTGAAAAACTTTTTTTTTTTTTAATTGGAAATCTGATTTTCTTAAAACTTGAGGACACATGAAATTGCCAACTTTTTTTTTTTTGATATATGCACAGAGATTCATAAGCTGCATGGAAAAGCAGATATGTTCATTAAAGAAAAAAATGCTATCATATAATCTCACCTTTGTGCCAGGAGCCTTTTCCGAAATAATTTCTCTCCTCCACATGAAAATGGTCGTCCACCAACAACACTAAGCTTTAACGAAGGAAAGTCCAGACGCCGATAACCTACATGATCCTCACCAAGACTGCTTGCCATTAGCATTGTGCATTGATATCAAAGAACAACAAGAAAAATAACTGTATCCACAGATGGGTTCCATGTATGCACACATATGCAAAGATTCCAACTATGACACTGAATTTGTACATAAAATTAATAGCAAATGAAGATCTAGAAATGATATGATGACATGTGAAAAATGAAATAATCTGAAAATGTAAAAGAAACAAAAGATCAGAATGCACTCACAACTCAAGCTGTAGTTGAACACCATCCTTTTTCCTGATTTGATATCAGTGAAAGTTATTAGTGTAGATTAAAAATTACACCTTGTATCTATAATTTAGGATATCTAAGCTCATTGGATTCTAGATATGACATAAATATATGATTCAATTATAACTCGTTGAACACGTTCAAGTAATAAATTTTAGAAATCATCACAACTTTTTTAAAAGCATGAGTTGTAACAGCAGATAACTGCTAATAAGTAGTAAAGAATCAAGAAGAAAGAAATCTATGATATGATCGAATGAACAAGGCTGAAATATGGTGACATCTTCAATATGTCAACAACAGGCACTATTGAGTTGAGGGATCAAGACTTGGACTTACTTTTTGCGGAACTCTTGAGTATTCCAGGCGTCATGATTTCCCAATATAACTGCTTTGGTGAATGTAAGATCTGTGATACTTCGAACTAATTCAACATTTTCATTACCAAAATCACCTGAATAATGCCCAAAGATAGTATTGTGAGAAACAGGACAAAGATAGGGTTAAAATAGAAAAAAAAAATCTTAGCACTCTGGATCCAAATCTAGATATGGCTCGATGACACATGTT